AACTTGCCCCAAAGACCCCCACTTCTATTGCTTCGTTCCTTATGGGATTTTCAATGTTGCGTTTTTTATTGGCGACTAACCCAGTTTCTCGAAATTTAGCTACAAGTTCTAGAACATACTTTCGATGCACGTTACTGTTCTCATGTCGCTCATTAAATATTTCTGCTGTTCTATTAGCGCACTGATTATTCCGAAAAATATTTCCATAATTTCAACTGTATCTGCTGTGTAATGTACCATGGTTAATTTATGTAATAAAGTATTACAAGTTATTTTAGCAACATAGTTTGGTCAAACAAATCGCAAACTATGTACTAAATTCCTATTTAAAATAAGTACAAGATATTTAGTTATTTTTCTTCAAGAAATAACTTTTTTACCACAAATAAACGCTCCAATAGCTATTTTCAACAAAATGATAAAAAAACCATGGGCGTAGTGAAGAAAAGCATTTACTTATTAAGTAAATTCTTTTAGTCAAATTTCTTGTGAAAGTAGTACAAACTAATCTGTTGTACCTATTAAAGTCTACTTTAAGCTTTAAATCAATAAATAATCTAAACCACTGAGCTGACGCTCATGCATTTTGCATCATTATAAAGGGAATTGAAAGACCTTTAAAATGCGGTATCACTAGACCCCCCTTTCCATTTAAGATTTTAGGGTTGATGTCACCCCCACCCAGGGGGCTGCACGTCTTAACGTGATTTTTTGCCAAACTTGTGTCCCCCTCGAAAACAAAATTGACGGGTCTGAGCGTTTTTCCAAAAAAAAAAACTGAGCTGCCAGTAAATGCTTCTGTTTCGTTTTCGATGCGCCACCCTGTATATTTACCACAACTAGGTAGGAAACAATTTTAAATGAAAGACAAAGTTTTTCGATGACATATAATGACACTGACTGATGCTAGATGTAGTATTAAGTTAGTCAAATTTTATTATAAACTCAAATTCGAATAGCTTCACAACGATTGAAGAAAAAGTATACTAAAAGCAAACGACAAAATGTACCAGGATAATCACAAATGGGGGTGCGCCTTTTCATTGGGCCGCCCTTTATATAGTGTATAAAGTTTCATTTAGTGGCCAGATAGACATAGGAGATTGTAGTATATTTCCTTTGATAGATCGAATACCGTTATTTCTCATATCCTTGCTACGAACTGAAATCCCTCACGTAGAACCACAAAAGCTCGCCTACTCTGGAGCGATTGGCCTTCTTAACTGCAAGTCGAGCACAATTTAACACCTACCTGCCCGCAAAGTCTCACCGACGGACGAGGAACAGCCATAAATTTCTGTTATCTTTGTACGGGAAAACATAATTGAAAGGATATCATGTTCGAATACCCTTAAAAATTCTGATCGATATTTCCGTGTAACGGGAAGATAATATTTTCCTTAAGAGGAAACACGGTGGAGATACTGAAGCATTTCTAGTCCCGCAATCAATTAATTCATGTGCCTTCAAGAGCTCGTTGAAGTTTGTTCTTAATTTTAGGAGCAAATAATTGTGAAAATTGGAGGTATTTATTATTATTTTTCTGACCTTTGCCATGGAAGCAACGTACTGTGGATTTTTTGAGGTATCCCTCAAGTAGCGCGAAAGTTATTGTAAAGACTGGCATCAAGTAGCCTTTGAAACAACCTTTATTTCAATTATCGATGTAGTGAAATGACATGCGGGTTTTGTCAGAATCAGTGATGCGTTATTTAGGCTTCGACCATTACCATTGGAGTCTCTGAAGTGGTGAGAGATATGGGTAACTAACAAATGCCACTTAGAAAGTTTCGAAATCCAAAGTACTTCCCGAGAGAGATCGAAAAAAAAACAGAAATCTCTCAAAATCCTTTTAACTTTTTCCTGAATTTATTTTTAGTAGGATTTCAAAATATATGGCACACTATCACCGCCACTTTTTCTCCTCTACAAGATAGCGTAATTGGAATTTCAATATGACGTTTCATCTCTTGTTCTCAAGCATTGGATTCATTTTTTTCTAATAGACGCCATATTGAATTTTTGCACATATGAATAGAGTTTTTGAAACGGATTCCAAAAATGTGTAATATGTCATACATCAACATTTCCAGACCTTGGTTATCACAGAAAAACGTAATTTCCTGGGTAGGCCTTGAAATTATCAGATAGTAATCTGATCTGTATACCAGACCAGACCTCAAATTGAACAGTAGCTGAGTTTGGAACACTGCGAAGAAGAGAAATAAACAATGTCCACGGAAGAGTCAGACTTTGCCTACATAATGAAGAATATAACATTTTGAACGTTTACTGTGATCTACCTTTGTTTATTTATGATTATTATGGTTAGTACAATCATCAAAATATTCATTTTGTGTTCAGGCTTCACTATACTATTTCCTCATAATTTTCGTTCGCACAAGTTCATGACTAACTAAGAAAGTACATAAGTGAATTAAGGACTGAACCAGCCCTTTAAAGCTACAAAGTTTCAATATAACGTCCATATGAAGAAAAAACAAAGTTGTTAATGAAATCGGAATCAAAAACCTCAAACTGAAAATTTGACCGCAACATCTTGTAAATGAAAAAGAATAACAAACATGTAATTCACTTTGAAATCCCAGCTCAAATAAAGTCAGGAAAAATAACTCTGGTATACGAAACAAATGATAATTTCAAGGCCTACCTATGAAATTCCGTTTTTTGAAATATACTAAGTGACATATAAATCCGAACACCCAGTTTAAATGGTTTTATTTTAATAAAAGTTGGTGAATGTATTTATCTTACTGTAAATAACAAGTGAAAAAATTTTCAGCCTTATCAGTTGGACATTCCGGTTTTTATACTGCTTTTTTTTTAATTCACTAACACTCTAAAAATGAATATTGCAGCCGCAGTAAAGAATCAACGTTGGCGGATTTTGGTTCTTGACATCCTTTACGATCGGTTACGATGCCTAGAGTACGAAGACCTGTACGATTTCGTCAACTTAGTGAGTTTGATAGGGGCCGTATTGTGGGACTTCGTGAAGCTGGACTTTCTTTTCGGGCAATTGCAAGGGGCACTGGATGCCGCCGTAGAACAACAGACCGTGAAGATCGCCGCCTAAGATTATTGGCCTTAAGGGAACGTTTCTCCACTACCAGGTCCATTGCCAATGAATGGTTTGCAGAACACGGAAGACCTATTGGCATGCGAAGTGTTTACCGACGAATGAGAAGTTTTAGCTTGTTTTCATACCGGCCACACTGGGTCCTCCCTTTAACTCGAGAAAACCGACGTAATCGCCTTGAGTGGTGCAGACAACGGTCACTCTGGGATCAGGAATGGAACAGTATTGTCTTTAGTGACGAGTCTCGATTTTGTTTAGGCATGCACGATGGTCGTGCCAGAACCCTGGCACGACCAGGAGGCGACGTGGTGAAAGGAGGAATCCACAGTTTTTTGTTGAAAGACATGTTCATCACACTGTTGGAGTTATGGTTTGGGGTGCTGTAGCTTATGGTTCCAGGTCACCTTTAATCTTCATCAGAGGTAACGTGAACGCGCAGCGTTATATCCACGAAGTTCTAGAACCCCATCTTTTACCCTATCTTGACACCCTGGCAGATCCAACTTTCCAACAAGATAATGCCCGACCACATGTTGCAAGAGTCACAATAGACTTCTTTCAACATAATGATGTCACATTGCTACCATGGCCACCAAGATCTCCCTACTTATCCCCAATTGAGCACGTGTGGGATATGATGGGTAGGAGATTGCTCTATTTGCAACGTCCTCCTCAGACTCTAGAAGCACTTCGAGAGGAGTTGGTGGTTGCCTGGAATGAGATACCACAGGAAGACATTGACCACCTTATCAGAAGCATGCCTAGGCGCGTTGGAGAATGCGTAGCACATCAGGGTGCATCCACACATTATTAAAGGTCAAAGGGCTTTAAAGCAGTGCAATCATTTTGAAATTTTTATCATTTACTTATTATGCTTCATTAAGTACTTATACAAAATTTTATTAAAATAAAACCATTTAAACTGGGTGTTCGGATTTATATGACACTTAGTATAACTAAGGCTTGGCAAAGGGGTAATGCGTGACAAATTATGCTTTTTTACATAACGGTGTTCATTAAAAAGAAATAAAGTGACTTCGTATCTCTTACCATTCCAGAGATTCCAATAATAAGAGTGTGGGTCGAATTTGAAACACACAAAGATGCAACATTTATAAGTAACCTCGTGGCGCACGGCATATGCGACCGATAGGCAGAACATATAAAGGATGTCTGCGAAAGGTCAATTCACATATTTTGGTCGCATTTAATCGACTGACAGCATTTGCAACAGCAATACTTTAGTTATGTTGCAAGATCAGGCAAGTCTTGTCTTAGCCTTAGGAAGCTCTAGTGCCGTAGGTGGGAATTATAGTTTCATCGGAAGAGCGCAAGGTGATTAATAGCGCGGGAGCTTCTCAACAGCAGTATCTTTGAATCCGGACTCCGACCCTTCCGGTTTAATATTGTATGCATCTTCCGAATGCGCGCCGGTGCCGTATTTGCACTTGAATCGATGCAATCCGAGCCAGGGTGCTCTGTTAGGGGTGGAGAGCGGCGAAGGGGCTCAGCGGCCGTTAATAAAACAATAAATGGCTGCAGTCAGCGAGGGATGCACCGCGATGCAGCATTAAGGGATGAAGGAACTTTCTCACTTTTGTTCATAAATCAGTAGGTGAAATTCCCGAGACAATTGCACGCGTCATGGACTGACAATCATACGACATTTTCGATATGTTCTGTTATACAGCGGGGTTATAAAGTATCTTCAAAAGTGGCATTATGTTGCTTTTTGACATTATATGGTTTTTTGTGGCGTTCCAACACCTGTCTTAAAATCAAATAACTTAACAAAAGTAACAGCACAGTGAAATTTTAGTGTCGTATGCAAAAATATGTCGCTTGCGAAATTCGACAACATCATCCTCCCCTGCTTAAAAATGGCAAGAGGTACAGCAAAATGGAAATTTTCGTGTTATAAATATCTTGTAGAAACAACGTTTAATTGTTGAAAGGATACAGAAATAAACTTTCTATAAATAGTATGAGTGAGAAATATCGATTTCAATTTTTGAAAGCGCAAGATGGATGTGTAGGTCCAATTTAAAAAGTATATTTTGCGTCTTTAATACAAAACAGTGAAAACACTATTGGACATGATCTATCGTCATAATTGTAAACAAAGAAACGTCATCCGTCACTCGTGGACTAAAGTTGTCTTCTTTAACTACATATTTCTAACAAGCTCCTGATCCACATAAAAAAAAGTTGGATTCGTAAAAGCAGAAAGCACAAATTCGGCGAAAATTGCCACATTGTATTTTTTCTTACACATCTGCAAGGAAATCGTACGATGAAGATGCCGTTCGTTACGTCCTACTTAAGTGAGACGATACAATCTGCACAGTAAAATGTAAAATATGTCCCGAACATAAGGTATGCTCCAAGCAATACACAGTGTTGCGTATATTTATTTCCCTGGACACTTTAATCCACAGCTTTATCGATTTGTTTTTATACTGTGATAACGATAATTACTATATTTTCAATGTAAGCTAGTTGAATTCAGGTTTATAGTTTTAAGAGTTTGAGAGAGAATGCTGTTTGCTATGTTTACAAATGGTATGACGTCAAAACACATTATTATGGGCCAAACATGGCGGACCGCGTCTCCGCTTGTATAAGAAATACGTGTGTTCAAATAAAAGCTTTACGGCCTTTTAGATCTTAAAAAAATATAGTTTTTTATTTTTTTGATTTGATAGAACAAACATTAACTATTCAAGACCTATTTCTTAATTGTCAATTAGCCTATTAAAATGTAGCATGGCATTCCCACCACTACTAAAACATGCCTCGTTACAAAAGTTGTAACATCCGAGAGACAGCATTCAATATTTATAGTCGTGTATGTTCAAGGTTAAAGTCCATTCGGACTCGACTAAAGGTAAAAATTGTTTTCGGACAACCTACAACCTCCGACCGCCGTTGCGGTTTGTTTGTTCACGGAACGGCCTTCCAACACATCCTCCACCTTTCTCCTCCTCTTTCTTCTAGCGGTGGCAAATTTCCCTTAGCAGAAATAAAGGAAAGTGCTTTCCTCCATATTGGTTTTCTATTGACTAAATAACAATGACCTGGAACGTGTTGGCGCGCTGTACACCAACACGAGAGTATACCGGGTGACAACAGAATCTGCTGAGTGTGGCAATTTCCGGAAAATTTGTGCTTTCTGCTTTTACGAATCCAACGTGTTTTTACGTCGATCAGGAGCTTGTTAGAGATATGCAGTTAAAGAAGACAACTTTAGTTCACAAGTGACATACGGATGACGTTTCTTTGTTTACAATTATGACGATACATCATGTCTAATAGCGTTTTCACTGTTTTGTATTGAAGGTGGAAAATATAATTTTCAAATTGGACCTACACATCCATCTCGCGCTTTTAAAAATTGAAATCGATATTTCTCACTTATTCTATATATACAAAATTTATGTTTGCGTCCTTTTAAAAATTAAATCTTATTATATACATGAAAATTATAGTTTCCATTTCCATTTTTAACCAGGGTGGAGGGTAGTGTTGTCACTAAAATTTCAGTGATATGATTCTTGTCAGAATTTGTCACTGTGCTGTTACTTTTGTTTTGTTTTATTTTGAGACAGGTGTTGGAAGAAGGTGGGTGGATATGAAGGAAAGGGTAAGTATTTTCAAGCAAATCATACTTCTAGTTTGTCATTTGACGTTTCGTTGATCAGAGAGGGAATCTGGAACGCGCCATTAACTGTCGCATAGTCTTAACTTCACGAGATTTTGTCCAATAAAGAATATTGATTGCGAGAATCAAGGAAGGCTCTTTATCAGTTTCATGCTACATTTTAGCTATCTGATAATTCGATATTCGCGAGTCCCCGCCCAGGGATGCGTTTCTAAAACACTTTGGACTGTAATCTTGCACACAATAATGCAATGAAATAATGCAACATTATTTTTATTTGCAAAATTGTGCTGGCTTAGGGTCACATTTATAAGCCTTGAGAAATGAGTGACCTCTCCTTGGATTTTGAAAAAACAATTATATTTTACATTGTAACACGACATAGGTTTCCGAATTTTGAAAAATTTTTAGAACAACTGAAATTTTCAAAAGACTTAAATTTTCAAAACTCAAGCCCAAGATAATTTGGGGATCTTAAAATTGTGATCCATTACCTACATTAAAATTTTGGAGTTTATAAGAATTTGAGAAACTACAAATTTTACTGGCTCTGGTAGTTTTGAATATGTTGAAAATCTTGCAAATGAAAATAAGGATTTTTCTTTTAGTTTTTGAAAACGTGTGATTACAATTTTCAATGGCGATGTTACGTCCTTTCTTGAACGTTTCTTAAGGGAGATTTATGCGCCCTTCGAGTTGCCTAGTTTGGTTTTTGATCTGAGTAACAAACTTATACAGGCTGTTCCTTAATGATATGAGAATATTTAAGGGTGTGAATCTACATGAAAAATTAATGTTAGTTTGCTATGGTAGGTAAACTATGGTTCAAAAATGTTTGCTTACAAAAACTCGGGGTGTTGAAGTTTTAGGAAAAAAATCGAAATTAATTAATATTTCCGGAACCGCTTCAGATATTCCACTGATATTTAGTACATAGTGAAAGTTGATCAAGGTGCATGTTTGTCAATGCTAAAATAATTTTTAGCTTTAACAGTGGCGTGCGCACAGGTGTTGACTTCGATATTTTTGAAGAAAAAAATGGTACGTAAATGGTTTTTTGGCAAATAAAAATTATTGTTTAATTCCCCCTTCAATTTAAAACAAATGATCTCTCTTGAATTGTTTTCCTTCGATGCGCCATTTTTGAGTAAAAAAAAATCTTATATCGACGATATTCGCAATGGAAATGTGCAAAATGACTGCAAACTTATTGTTGCTTTTGTATGTTTACAGAATCATCAAATCAAGAAACGGTTTCATCTTGCTCCATGGTCCGTTTTAACTGTTTTCAATTGACCTCAAAAAAAAAATTCGCCAAGTAGGTTTACTCTGCACTTTTATTATCAATACTTTCAGGACGAGAAGAGCAGACGATTCTGGATCGCAGCGTTATCAGATAGATGGGGACTACAGACTAATTGTATGGGCTTGCTTGACTCACCGATCCATGCAATTCTTTTTTTGTTTTATGGAGTTTCGCAGCTAACTGTTTTTCTTATACACTATTAAAATAATTGTTTATGAACAGATACCAGCTTTGGTAAGGTACAATTTGCAAACTGCGTGGTACCACTTACCAAACACGTTAGATTAATTGTAAGCAACATTTTTTCAAAAAAAAGTACTCAGTACTTACATAGGTTTTTTTTTCTGTGAACGTGTAAAATTATTAAATGCGAGAGGCTTTCGCGGCCATCATCTAATGTTATAGCGAATCTGCATATTGCCAGCCCCAAATTTTCGACGATAACTTTCTGGACAATCTTTTTTGAACTAATTTCAAAAATTATTTATTTCGCTCCGATGGTCGCTTTAATAGGTTTTTTTTTGGAAGGGGGGGGGGCGATTCTGAATACAAAGGATGTTTTACAACTTTCCTCTAAAGTTAATATTTTCCGAAATATGAATAATACAAGTTTGAAAAAGGGCGAAATTCTACCCGGAAAATAGTAAGAAAGAATTAAAAAATTAAATTTTCAATTTTGACAATGGCCCGAAATATTCTCCAAACGACGGGCTTAACGTATGCTTGATGGAGAGAGAGTTGCAGCATGTGAAAAAATTAACATTTACAATAACAATTCCGACTGAAGTGCTTTGCGATTTTGTTAATGGATGTTCGGAGAATATTCAGTAACATTGGAAGCATTTTTGTTTCTTTATTTTGTTTTTCGGGATAGAGAACAGCATATTTCGCATTTTTTCAAACATTGTTTCGCTTATTTATCAACTTTTCAGAACAGTTTTAAAGCATTTTTTTCCGAATTTACCCCAAAAAAAAAAAACAAAAAATGCTGTGACCGTCTGAAAGAATTGTTGTAACGCAAATTTGACAAAAAGGGCCCTTTTTGGATAAGATTATGCAAAAAAATCCGTACTAGAATATTTTTCAATAGTTGCAAAGTGTTTTCTGAACTAAGGAATTTTTATCGGTATGGAAACCACAAAAGTGTCAGATCCCATTAATGAGCTGGTCTTACGCATAGCAGCTGCAAGGCAAAATTTTTAAGGCTACAGATCTGGGCTGCTTCCACATACCACCCTGTAAGGACATTCAGCCTTCTAGGAAATCATAAAAGGCGTGGAGACTTGGTACTTACCTTCTCCTGTTTTTATATCATTCGCAATGCGGACGCTTTGAGTTTGTTTCTGTCCACGATATAGCCATCGATCCGGTGATAACTGACTCGGGTAAAGGCAGAATTGCCAGTTGTGTACGTACCATGGACAAAGTTCACAAAAGAAAGATCCGTAATCTTTAACACGTGTTTGAGAGAGTAAGCAGACTATCTGAGAATGTAGTAATTTGCTGCAGTTTAAAGCTTCCTAAATAAAGCTAATCTTAACAAATGAGAAGCTATCAAACTCTCCTTATCTGTCTCTTATGGCTTTGCAGGAAGCCATTCGTTTTTACTTTTTGGTTTCATCGACATGATTTGACAGAAACAAGTTAACATATATGCAGGTTTGGTTCTCATTGTCGCGCCCAAAATGGGATGGAAGGTAAGGAGGACTATTACCCTCCCCCCAGATGATTTGAGTTGTCTTTACGAACATACACTTCAAAAATAAATATCTGTAGCTTTAATAAAGGTTAGTAAAGTTTGGCAAACGGATCTGCAACATCGGGGTATCGGTGAGGGGAAAGCAAAACATGGCTGGTTTCATTCATAAAATGCCAGCGGCGTGCGGTATTTTATAAAAGTTTGGGATTATTTCATAATTGGTTTAAATTTAGTAAACTATACGTT